CCTTTATGCTGATGTACCTTTCTTTCACTCTTCCTTCTTTTTCTTAAAGCAGTCCTTTTAGCATTTTTTGCAATGCTGGTTTGGTGGTACTGAACTCCTATAGCCTTTTTTTTGTCTGGGAAGCTTTTTATTTCACCTTCCATTTTAAATGATAGCCTTGGTGGATAAAGCAATCTTGGTTGTTTGTTCTTGCTTTTCATTACTTGCAGAACTTCATGCCACTCCCTTCTGGCCTGAAGAGTCTTTGTTGAGAAATCAGCTGTCAGCCTTATGGGGGTTCCCTTTTAGGTCACTGCTTGTCTCTCTCTTGCAGCCCTTAATATTTTCTCTTTGTCCTTGAAATTTGCTGTTTTAATTATGATGTGTCTTGGAGTGGGTCTCTTTGGGTGCCTGTTGTTTGGAACCCCCTGTGTTTCCTGAACTTGTGTGCCTTTCACCTTTGCCAGACTAGGGAAATTTTCTATAATTATTTCCTCCACTAAGTTCTCTATCCCTTGCTCTCTTTCCTCCTCCTCTGGCACTGCTATAATGCGATTGTTGTTTTGCCTCATGTTGTCCCAAAGCTCCCTTAGACTGTCCTCATGCTTTTTGAGTGTTTTTTTCTTTTTGATGCTCTGATTGAGTGATTTTTACTACCTTGTCTTCTAAGTCACTTATTCTATCCTCTGCTTCATTGAGCCTGCTTTTAATTCCTTCCAGTGCATTCTTGATATCAGATACAGCATCCTTTATCTCTGTCTGAGTTTTATTTATGGTATGTATCTCTTTTTTCATGTTTTCACTAAGGTCCTCGATCTTATCATCTAGTGTCTTCTTAAGTTCCTTGAACATCTTCATCATCCATACTCTGAACTCCATTTCTGATATCTTGCTTAACTCCATCTAATCAAAGTCTTTTTCTGGTGATCTTTCCTTTTCTTTAATTTGGGGGTTGTTTCTTTGTCTCCCCATTTTGGTAGGTCTTAGTGTTTGTATCTATATATTAGATATATTTGCTTTCCCGAAGTCTTGTGGGATGGGATTTTGTCTTGTGGGACCAGTGGAGCCCAGAGATGTGTTTTCCTTACGCTTCTGAGCTCTTTGCGCTAGGCGAGTCCCTCTTGTGGGTGTCCCTTTTGTGGTTCCTTTATGTTCTCCTGTTGTGGTTGGGTCTAGATTGTCATTGATGAGTCCTTGGGAGGACCCTCCTCTCAGGTTGGTTAACTGTTTCTCAGCCCCAACCTCGTTGTGTAAGCTTTTGTATGGGTGTCGGGAAGGCAGGACAATACACAACTAAAATTCCCGGAAACAAGAGGTATCTTACAAAATATCTTGATAGTCACAATGAAAACAACCCACGTGAAAATAGAACTGGGAGAGGGAAGGGAGAACACACACACACACACACACACANGAAAATAGAACTGGGAGAGGGAAGGGAGAACACACACACACACAAAAATTCATAAAAAAAAGAGAGAAAGAAAAGTAACAGTTAGAGAGAGAGAGAGAGATGTATATTGTTGTTAATACTGGTGAAAAATTAGAAAATAATAATAAAATAAAATGTAAAAAATAGAGAGGCTACTGGGAGATAACAGAAGCAGATAAAAGATTCTTAAAGAAAGGCCAGCAAAAAAATTAAGGGAGAGAATAGGAATAGGATAATAGTTGAAAATGAGAAAACAAAAATACAATAAAGGGAATAAGAGAAACTAACAATTGGACAGGAAGACAGAAGGGAGGATATTTCCTAATAAAAGAATGAAAGAAAAGTAGAAAGAGAAAAAAGAAAAAGAAAAGTTATGCCAATGGATCTAGAGGAGAGAGAGAGAGATAAAGCCCAGGCAGGGAGGGAGTCCGGTAAGAGATTTGGGGGAAACTATAGAGGAAAGCAGTAAACTTGGTTATAATGATAAAGTCCCAGTCGTTAAGCAGGGATATCAAGAAAGTCTTGATAGTAGAAGCAAGGATAAAACAAAACAAAGTAAATAACCAAAACAAAACTAAAAACAAGCTAAGCAAGACAAAATTCTTTTGTAAAAAAGAGAAAAAAGTTTAGTTAAAAAAAATGCTTAAAAAAATATAAAAATTAAAAAAATAGATTATAAAACTTGAAAAAGAAGAAAAAACAAATTTTCTCCCCCTTCTCTTCTTCCTAAGGAAAAAAGAGAAAAAATAAACAAACCCACAAACAAAAAACAAACATAAAAACTTGAAAACCAAAAAAACCAAAACCAAACCAAACAAAAAAACACAGAAGAAAAGACGGTAGTCAATCAGGTGAGTTTCTTCTGGGCAACTTATGTTGTCTGTGGCTCCCTGTTTTGTGTGCTGGTTTCAGTTCTCATGGGAGGTGCTTGTGTATCAGCCAATGTGAGGAGCCATCTAGGTTTGGCTCTGGTGTCCTTAGGTAGATGGTTGATCTGAGGCTCTCTGTGGACCACCTCCTCTTGTCAGCTATTTTGCAACTTTGTTGTTGCCTGGTTTTGCTCCAGAGTCTTCTGTAGAGTCTTTAGGGTGCAGGGTGGCTAGTGTAGCCCAGGGTATCACTCCCTTTAGAGGTGTTGCTGTCAGGCGCTCACTCTGCGGGAGTTAGTCTCTGCTCCACTGCCAGCTCCTCAGTCCCTACCCTGTCCTCTGATACTAGTGCCCCAGGAACTGGCCTGTTGCCTTTTCTGTATGGGCCGTTTCGGCAGCCTGGGCTCAGTGGGTTCTATTAAAAACACATTCTGGTGAGCCCTTTGCCTGCCCAGCCCCCAGCAGGGGTTTTCAGCGTTTCCTTCAGCTCCCAAACAACAGTCCCTGAGAGTCTTATTCTTGTAAAGTCCTCCTGTGAGCTGCTCTCCCTTTCCCCTCAGGACTGTGCCCGGAGGGGGTGTTTGGGGCCTCAGTGAGTGGGACCCACCCCTTTCCTGTTGGGGGCGGTGCTCCTGGCTGCAAGAGAGGCCGGAGGGCCCCGCCCCTCCCTGCTTAGCTCTGGTTGGCTGGTCGCACCAGGCCCACCCCTCAGACCGTCTACTGTGCAGACCCCAATCCCAGCCTCCGATGGTCTGTGTGTGCTGTGCAGGCCAGGAAGGTGGGAACCAGTTCCGCAATCAAACTTGCAAACGCACAAAGCAACACACAGGCAGAAAGTCCGCCCTGCAAGGTCCTGCTGCCTGAGCACCAAGGCACCCAGCGGGAGGGGACCCAAAGTCAGCTCCACGCATCTCCCCGCACCGCTGGTCTCAGCAAAGCTGGAGCGGCTTCACGCGCCACCAGAGCACCCCTCAGGGCTGATCACAGATCCCAGCCTCCCGCCACTGGGCGCTCAGGGGGGGAGGGCTCCTCCCCTCCCCCGCGCCACGCAGATTGAGCGCTTTCTGGGGCTCAACACAGTGCCCCACAGGGAGGCAGAGGGTCCTTGTGTGTGGCTGCTCAGCGCAGTCCTCTGGTCCCTTACCACTGGGTGCCACAGACCTTGGACAGCCTTCCCTATGCTCGGCACCCCGAGCATCAGACACTGGTCGCAGCCGCCACTAGAAGCTTTGTTTCCTAGGAAGGCGCCGTTCCCTCCCGGACTCACCGCTCCCCTGGGCCCCTCTGCCCTGTGCGCGGGGCGCTCCTTCTCCTTTCTGCTCCGGGTGTGGGGTCCCCACTTTTGGAGGCAGGTCCGCACTCCCAAGGGGGGGAGCTTTGCAGCCTCCAAGCCTCTGGGCTCGGAGCCCAGCACAGGCTTCAGGGGGGACTCCCCCTCCTATACCCCCCCCTTTCCGGACTCCGTGATGTTTCTTCAGTGCTCCCCACTCGCACTCCGTCCACTCAGGTATGTTTCTCTGTTTTTTTCAAGCTGGTTACCTAGGATTTTAGGTGTAAATCGAGTCCGTGGCTGGGAGTGGGGGTGCTTTGCTGCTTCTCACGGGGCCGCCATCTTCCCTCTCCTGGTTCAGTTTTTCAGAGAGTAACCTTTCGATTTCCAGTTGTGTGTGTGAGGGGTCTGGGATTTTAAGTGCTTCTATGATACACTTTCAATCACGCCCTGTCTCTCATACTTGCTTTCTGTGAAACCTGGTGGCTCCAAATTCTGTCTTTCCCAGATTCTCAAGTGCAGACTGGTTTGCTTGCTGTTGTAGACATTGCCCTTGCAAAGGTGTCAGCCTTCTTCTAAGTCAGTCACTCCCTCCTCCATCCACTTGCCAGTGTGCAAACATTTTGCTGATATCTTCAACCCACCGCAGGCATCTCTCTAATTCTCTTTCTCCTTGTGCATCTATATCTTTTAAAACATTCCTATGGTAAGTTTCATGAGGCACCAATGAGAAGTCAAGATAAAAACTTGTGTGCAATCTTCCATGTTCAATTAAAAGTGTTTTTTGTCTTTGCTCACCTTTATTTTGACCTATTTTTTCCCCACACAGTCTTATTTATAGCTGTTTAAAACCGGAGCCCAGTAATAATTCTAAGTGATTGTGGCTCCCTATGTTATCTCCACTAAGTCTGTCCTAACTACTTTAACCTACAGTGTTCCTAATCTTCTTGGAACTTAACACGGTCCAAAACTTCATTCTATCCCAGCTTGCATTTTTCTTTGTTTCATGTTTGCCATCTTGTGCTCTCCCAACCTGGCTGAAGGTGGGTCTTCTCTTTCCCTGGTATTCCCTCTTCTGATGCTTCACAGATATGTGTGCAAGAATGTGATAGTTAGAGGAAACTTCATGCTCTGTCTTTTCAGGACTCCCAAGCTCTGGTGGCCCACCATTGGCTCTTAGCCGTTGAGTGCAGACCAAAGCAGTGCTGGGGCAGATCCTGGGGAGTAGAGGGCTTACTGCATGGTGCACAGCTGGGAAGGAAAACACCTTGCCTTCTAGACCTGAAGCAGGTTTCCAAGGCCAGAGAAGAGGTAGGGGGCTCTGGATGTGGGCACATGGGCCATGTGCCAGGGTAAGGAAGTGAAAGTGTTGAGTTGGCAGAACCCCAGAGGGAGGGCAAGTGTGAGGGATTATTCACAGCTCATTAACTCTGGGCTGGGCTTCCTCCAGTAACCACAGTAATCGTTGTCAACCTCTACCTGATAGCATTCACACCATACTGGCCTGTCATTGTGCTCATTCTTGCTTGGCTGGCTGTTGACGGGAAGACTCCTGAGCAAGGTAAGGGCCCTTCTGGGGCTGTGCTGCCACCTGGTGCATGTTCTTTCCTGTGATCCCAAGAGGCTCTCGCAGCCCTTTAGCCTGACCCTCCCTGGGCTAGAGAAATTGAGGGAAGGGTTTTTTCCGCCAGGTGCTAGAAAGAGCCAGATGAGAACCATAGCGGGTTAGGGGAGAGGCAGATAGTGAAGCAGAAAGCTAGGCTTGCCCTGCATTGGCCCTGACCTGCCATAGCCCATTCTGGTTGTCACTGAAGAGGCCCAGAAGAAGCAGGGGGTGAGAGTACCTTGTGGCAGGCCCAAAAGGGCTCTAAAGTACAATCTGTGTGGGCAAAGCTTGGCTGCATCAGCTCTGTTTTCAGGTAGCCGCCGGTTTACTTGTGTGAGGCATTGGTGCCGATAGAAACAGTACTGTGATTACTTTCCACTCAAGATGAGCAGCCCTGGGCCCAGCCTTAGCTCCAGTGCTAGCAATTGGGTCAGGGAGGGAGTTGTGCGTTGTCCAACCTTCATGACCGGACATAGCAGCCCTTTTTCTTCCAGGTCTCTGGCCAGAAAGAGAGTCCTCTTCTCTTCCCTGGTCATACCCGTCCTGACTGCTCTTTCCTCCACAGCTTTTGAAAAGTCATGACATCTCCCCCTGCCACAACTACATCCTTGTCTGCCACCCTTATGGGCTCATGTCCCATTCATGCTTTGGCAACTTCACCACAGAGGCCTCAGGCTTCTCCAAGGTCTTTCCCGGCATCACCCCTTATGTGCTCACACTGGGACCCTTTTTCTGGGTCCCTTTCCTCAGAGACTATGCCATGTCAACAAGTGAGTTGGCTCCTAGGACATAAAGCCAAAATAAAAATGGCTCCCTGAGGAGGAAGTGCTAGGGGAGTGGGTGAAAGCATGGCCAACTCTGTGATCCCCCCTGGTCTTAAACAGTGCCCTAGGCTCACCTTCGTGAAATGAGGCTCCTTCCTCCTGTGAAGAGGCAGGGAGGAAGGCTAGGAAGATTGGGAAGTGGCCAATGACCTTTTGACTTTTTCTGCCTGCCAGGGGTCTTCTCTGTGAGCCAGTCCTCTACAGACTATCTGCTTACCCAAAAGGGCACAAGCAACATGCTGGTTGTGGTAGTCAGTGGCCTGGTTAAGTGCACATACAGCTTGCCAGGATCTACCACACTGTTCTTGAAGAACCGGACTGGGTTTGCATGCAAGGCCCTGCAGCATGGGTAAGGACAGTCCAGATCCTGACTAGAGAGAGTGGTTCCAAAACTCCAACAGAGAAGGAGGAAGGAATTTGGAGGAAATGATATGTAGACAGGAGGGCAAATCTCCTGTGTTGGAGTAGAGCCTGAGCCAGGTCCCGGAGGCATTTCAGCTTCTGAGGAAATGTTAGAGGGCCAGTCCTGAGCTTGCTGTCCTGCACATTAGCCTCTCATCTAGGCGAGGCTGTCTATGAAAGGTGACTGGCTGCAACCGCCTCTCAGGGAGAGCCAAACTTGTTTTGTGGGTTAAAGGGAAGAAAGGTAAATGAATGTTCCTTGAGTTTTATGTTCCTTGAGTTTTATCAGACCTGTGGCTTCACAGGAGAGTTGGGACTTGCTTCCTTTAGCTTGCTGCTATTTTGTCCCCACAGGAAGCCTGGGGTAGTCCACGGCGCCCTCAAGCTTGGCCTGGACCTAGGTCCAGCTAAGTTAGGGGCTGAGGAGCCTATAGGCAGACCCTGAGACCGCTGGTAGTCAGCATGTCTGGCTTTCAGCAGGGTCCTTACCTTTCTGGCCATCAAAGGACATGCCTTTGCTCTACAGGGTGGCTCTAATCCCTGCCTATGCCTTTGGAGAGGTAGACCTCTACCATCAGCACATTTTCTCTCCTGGGGGCTTGGTCAGTTGCTTCCAGAAATGGTTCCAGAGTGTGATGCACATCTACCCTTGTGCTTTCTATGGGTGTGGCTTCACTGAGAACTCCTAGGGCCTTCTACCCTATGCCCGGCGTGTAACCACCATTGGTGAGTGGGCTCTTCTTCTGGCAGCCTAGTTTAGAATGTAGATCCAGGTCTGAGGCTGAGCCTAGGCTTTGGGTGTGTCCAGAGGTGGGGAGGCTGGCCAGGATGGGTAGTGTTGGGGTGGTAAGGATGGGCTGGAGGGCTGAGGTCCATTCTGAGGAGTGAGCTATTCTGATGCTTCTCTTTTCCTTCTGCCTCCTCTGGCAGTCAAGGAGCCTCCACCAGTGCCCAAGATAGAGAAGCCAAGCCAGGACGTGGTGGACAAATACCACACACTCTATATGGAAGCCCTGCACAAACTGACCAGCACAAGACCCAGTTTGGCTGCTCAGAGACCCAGGAGCTAGTGATAGTTTGACAGACATACCCAGCAGCTGTTGAGCCTGGCTGGAAGGTGTGGAACTGTAAACACAGGGACAAAAGTCATCTATGGGGCTTCTGCTCCTGATTTGGCCATTCCTCAATGTGAGGAGGGGCTTTCCATTTGGTTATTTTCTAAACCCCAATTCCTTCTTCATCTCTCTCCTCCTTCCAGCTCTTCTCTGCCTTTTCCTTGGGGCTACAAGGGAGATGGTCTCAAGAGGCAGGGAAGGCCCTGGGAGAGGTGCCCTTTAGATATCCTCATACATGCCCATTCGTCAGCACTGAGGAAAACAACGGTCAGAATAAAAAGCCTATCTTCTGATACTGCTCGTGCTCTAACTGGTATGTTTGAGGGCCCAGGATCCCCGGACATCTTTCTAGCTCTCAAGCAGCTCCATCTCCTGGCATTGAGACTCTTGCAGGATTGGGTGCCTTAGGGTCCAGTGAGCAGGCTCCACCACCTTGAAGCCATGTGACTCGGAGCAATCAGTCACCTCTGAGCCTCAGTTTCCTCATCTGTAAAATGGGACTAATGATCTCTCGTCTGCTCACCTCAAAGACTGTTGAGAAAGCAAATGATATTGAATGTGATTGAACTTTGTAAATTGGGGGATTTACACAGAATTATTCTCCTGCCACCATTTCACTCATTTCCTGTCCCTGAGCAAAAATGCCCTAAAGCTGGCATATCAGTGTTTAAAAGAGTGTGCAGTAGAGGATCTTGTCAGCAGTTCTTCGAGAATTTAAGTAATAGAAGCCTCTATCAACCCTGGTCCACACTCAGTTTTCCATCTCATAATGCTTTAATAGACTGAGTCAGGCCTGGCCTAATTTCCTGTCTTTCCCATGCAAGTTGCTTATCCTTGCCTGGCTATCTCACCCTAACCTTTGTCAGAGTCAGCCATCTTGCTTAAGATGGAAGTGAGTGCCTGGCTTCTGGCCACCATAAAGCTCTCCTTCTGGATGGTGAGGCTCTCAGACTCTTGGCCCAGTGATTGTTGGCAATGGTAGGTTACACAGTTTGGCCCACAGCCCCCTGTTCCATTCCTCTTGAGTGGATGCCATTTGGTCCTAATGATTTATCTGCATCGACTTGTCAGTTTGGTCTAGAACATCCTGTATAGTAACCAGTGTGAACTGCTGCCTCTGCCCTGGGTGCCTGCCTCACAAGATGACTGTACATAGTGAGTAAAGACCTAAGGTGAAGGGGATGGGTGCATGGTCTGGGGCAGAGAGGAGATGGGATGTCTGACAGGAAATTCAGACTACCTGCCTTCTGCTGCCCCCTCTGAAATGAGTGCCTTGGTCTTCTAGCTCATGTGTGGCAGCACCTGCAAAAAAGCACCTAGCGTGTAGGAAGTGCTCAAGCCGATTTCTAGAACAGAGGGGAAGAAGCTTTATTTGCAAAGAATAAACCATTAATTTATACAAACTTACATCCCAGTTTATATACATTATGTATAGTTTATATACACAGTATTTCACACTGGATGCTGACCCCCAAAGCAGCACTGGGCCTGCTCCAGGCCATTCTCAAAACAAAGCCGACACCCCTGCCCCAGCTGGAAGCATTTTTAATAAAGAAATGACACACCCCAACTCTTCTTGGAGAGAGCCCTGATTCAGGTTAAAAGAAAAAATCTGGTCCCTTCTTTGTGCTCACATGGTCTACGGGAGCCTCCAGGTAGAAGCAGGCCAGAGGCAGTGCCAGCGTAGCCTCAGGACTTCCAGGTGTTAGGCCACTCCAGAGGCAGGAGCTAGCAGAATGCCTTAAGGGGAGCAAGAGTTCTGATGAAGGGTGCAGCTGCTCTCTCCCTGCCTGGCCAGGCTCCTGAAGGGGGCCAACCACTTCCAGCCTTGAGTCTGGGTACTGTTTGAGACAGGGACTGCTCCACCCCCTCACTCTGCTGAGTCTGTGAGTTGTGGCTCATTCACTTTGGGTAGGCCGCCTTCCCTCTCTGAGCCTCCGTATCTACATGAGTAACCTGGGGCAGAATGCAGATTGGGCTAGATTCCCTCTAAAGGCCTTTCTAGCTCTAAATTTCTCTGAATCTATTTGCATCCACCAGAAGTTACATAAAACACAAATACTCACATGTGGATCAGTCTTTTTCACCTTGTAGTTTCTTAGTCCTTTCCTGCTCAGCAACAGAAATTTGGCTCAGAATAGATGAAGGGGAAATAAAGCAAAGACTACATTTTCCAAGGAACCAGTAACTGAGCAACCCTGACAGCTGACTTTTGTGCCAGCTTTTGGTGTTGAAGCCCAAGCAGCTGGCAGAGGTTCCTGCCATGTAATTCTCCCTTGAACCTCTGTCATCTGCCTGCTCACAAATGTCCTTGTCCCGTTCTCCAAGCAGGACTTGGCCTTCTGATAAACTCACATCAGCATAATTCCAGATGGTCAATCTATGTCCACATTCTCTTATTAGTAAATTGCTTCACTACTTTGCCAATAACTTCGCTGCAACAGGGCTCCCCAGCTACCTATTGCTTCCCTCCTCACCCCTCTCCCTCTAGGGTTCCTTTTGAGGGTTCATAATGAATCAAGGGTTTGTGTGACTCCTGTCTCCCTTATAATCCCCTCCATATCTGGAGAATAGGGTAGGTGTCAGAATGTCCTTTAGGGCCACAATTAGGAATCCTTTTCTTTCCCTCTCCTCACAGCCTTTTGGCTTTAGAACCAGTCCTCACTCTTCCCTCCATCCCTGAGAGATCCTGGCAGTACAAAGTTCTCTGTGGTATGGTGCAAGGAGATAAGGAGTCACTCAGTAGCTGTGGGAAGTGGCCAGCTCCTGTAGCCCATCTGTAGGGTAAACAAAGAAGTACCTCACTTGCAGTAGGGGCTCCGTATGTAACGGCTGGTTGGTTCATGGGGTGGGTGGAAGAACATAAGGGGTATTAGTTCTGTGGTTACCAGAAGCCTGCCACTTGGCCATGGTGCCAAGATGGTTCTTCTGAACACAGGAGCTCTAAGGCTGATGGCTGTTTCCCAAGAAAACACCCTATTCTTTTGCCGTAGAACCTCTGGCAGCTAAGGCAATAGGCATTACCATCAAGGAATGAAAATGAGCAACTCTGGGTCCCTTCTTAGAACCCACAAGGATTTGAGGTCCATGTTACCATTTTATTGGTTTTCTCAGGACCCTAAATTCAACACAAAACTGCAGCACAATGGAATAGTGTTGGTCAGACCTGGCTGAATGAAGCCCCGGACCTGTGACTTCAGTTGGGTGAGATCCTGGTCAGAACACTTAACTCTCTGAGCCTCCTTTAAACAATAGGATTTGTAATATTACTGAAGGAGATAATAAGAGAGAAAGTATTCTCCAAGTTTTAAGGAGAAATTCTCATCTGTTACTGCTACGCCTGAGGACTGTCCAAGGCACTCTGTAAGAGCTGGGTCAGACCCATGCCTCATATTTGCTTCACCTGGCCTTGCAAGGCTGTCATTAGCAACCAGACAATGGATGTGCAGCTCACTGCCTCCTGCCCCGGTCCTTGAAGGGCCCAGCAGCATAGCTGCTTAGAAAAAGGCACAGCTGTGGATGGAGTGCCTGTTGTTCTCGTTAAATTTCAGCTGCCCAAAGGAACTTATTCCCCATCTCCCCATAAGGAAACTTGTTTCTTGTTTCATGAGCAAGAGTAGCAGACTGTACAAGACCAGCCCTCTCAGCTTTGGGCTGGACCTGGCACCCAGGAGTCAGGCTGGGCCCAGGCAGTTAGAAATAGGGCCCTTGAATGGTCCCACAAGCTTGGGGAAGTGGCGATGGTGTCTTTGGGCCCTAGACTAGAGGGCAGAGCCTTACCCAGATGCCTAGATGCTGGGTTCTTCTGAGCCTGGATTCAGGGGAGCAGCACTGGAATCTGTGCTGACCATGCTGTGTCGTGGCTTTCTGGAGCCAGAGTGTAGGCAGGGGTGTCAGCAGGCATCAGCTGCTGGCCTTTCTGTTAAGGCCTAGGTAACTGGCTGCTTGGCTTGCAGCAAACTTGAAAAACCCTGTCCTATCCCCACCTCTTGTCTTTTCTGGGTCGGGTAGAAAAGCTCTGCTCTGCTGAGGCCCAGGGGCAGGTTAGGGTTGGGGATTTTAGTAGGCTATTAAAGGAGGTGCCTCAATACTGGGATTTGAAGGGACTTCTGGAGGTCAGTCAGTCCAACACTTTGTCCCTAGGCACAACTTGACTAGATGAATATTTGTGTTGCTTAGTAAATGGAAGATTCTGTTTGTGCCCAGGTAATCTCAAGAGTTTCCCAGACTCACACAAGCACAGGTCCCAGGTTAGGCACCTGTATCATACAGAGGTAGGCTCATTCTAGCCAGGCTGGGAAGGGGGGGGGCAATTGGGAGGGGGCCCAGGGAGTTTTCTGAGCCTCAGCATAGCTGTAAACAAAGTGAAAGACATGTGGCCCCAAGTCTGGCTTCAGGTTCTTATGCAGGCAGGTTTGTGGCTATTCCCTGTAATCACTCCAAGGAAGAACAAACCTCCTGTCCCCAAAGCCTGGCAAGCTGCTGCATCCAGCTCTCTGCCTGAGTGGAAAGAGCTCTGACCGGCCCGCTGGCTACAGGCAGAGCAGCAAGAATGCTTTCACCACCCAGGATGCCTGCTCCTGCTTGGCAGTTTTGTCCCTGGGTCTCTGCCACAAGCACCTACCTTTCCC